GGTACCCGGCCGGCGGCTGCTGGTTTTTACCACTCGCTAACTTTAATGGCAGCTGTTGTTTCACCATTTGCTGAAAATTAAAAAAAAATTAACTACATTACGCCAAATTGTACCAATTTTTTTTAAAGTATACTTTATTACCATAAAAACATTCCTGTATAGATTTTTTTTAAATATAATGTGATTTAGTTGCAAAATTTAATCATTAAAAAGTGTCTTTTTCCAAATTCCCTCGCTAAGTTCTAAAACGCACACTATTGGTTGAAGCAAGTGGCTCATCTAATATGGCGTCGCTGTGTTGACAATACACAGTTTAATATTGTAACTAAATTGATAATGAATTTCCTTTTAACTCTTATGTTATCTTTATAAATCTTACTAATATTACAAATGCGAAAGTTTAGATGGATGGATGGATGTTTATTAGAGTTTGTAGCCTAAACGGCTGAACGGATCTCGATGAAATTTCGTATAGATGTAGAGGATAGTCTGAAAGAACACATAGGCTACTTACTTTTGCTTTTTTTTAATTTTTTTTAAATTAATAGTTAATAAATAAACTATCTTACTGTGAATTCGAAAATTAAAATGTATGGATGGATGTAGTTTTTAATTCCACGGGGCTGTAAATACATAATAATACTAACAGAGATGGCGGGCGCGCGTACAGTCGCGCGGCTTTCATTGTGTGCGGAGAGCAGCTGCGGGGGCGGCACACACGCTGACGACTCCGACCCAGTCGAACCACGATTATCTGATACACGTAACGTTACGCGGTTACATGGTGTAACGATCCTGCCACTTTTTATACCAGATGCATAGAAATGACGAATTTTTCGTCGATACTGTAATGGCAATAAGAGTAACTTGCGTAAGTTAATAACTTACTCCGCCATTTTGGTTCTTTCCGACGCGTTGTGTCACTGACACTGGAGTCCGGAGACAGGGTGCCCACACTCGCTATCTCTTCTTGAGACCCGCCTGCAATACAATACATTAATTATCTATACTAATCTATATATAAAGAGGGAAGATTTGTATTTTTGTATATATTAAAATAACTCAAAAACTATTCGTCTGATTTCAAAAATTTACGGTTACCATTGCAATCTTGTTACATGGCATGTGTTTTTCCCTTTCTCGCATGACATTTTTTTCCAATTTAGTCACCCTTCAAATTAAATAGCGTGAAAATATATAGTTCATAACATTCATTAAGTATTGTACTCTTCATTAAAAAGAAAATTATTAACAAATATGGTATGATTGCTGACATCCTACATAACAAACAAGTGTGCTTTATTACATTA